GTGTTTAATAAAACTTTACCTATGGGCATTAAAATTTGAACAGCATATAATTTTCACAAGTCATAAAACATCATTTTTGTTTTTTAACCATTTAAAAATGCCAAAATGCAACAAAACAACAACAGAATCAAGCAAACAACTTGATTTTAAAATGGTCAAAGGACTTGAAAAGGTGATTCTTTCCAAAGATAGACAAATGGCTGATGGGCACGTGCAAAGATGCTTAGCCTCTCTAGTAATTAAGGAAAGGCTAAGCAAAGCCACAAAGAGATGCCACCTCACACCTATTAGAATGGCTACTGCCAAAGAAGAAATACATGTGTTGATCAGGACATGGGAAAATAGCAATCTCCGTGGACTATCATGACAATGTGCTGTGGTACACTTGCTGACAGTTACTTAAAAAGTTAAAAATAAATCAATCTCATCTATTCGGCTGAGGAAAGAGGATCGAAAGTTCAAGGTTAACCTTGGCAACTTAATGTGACCCTGTATCAAAATAAAACACAAAAGGGGCCCAGATATAGTTCAGAGGCACAGCATTTGCCTAGCAAGTGTGAGGCTCTGCATTCAAACCCCAGTACTGCAAAAACATGCAAAAATCAAAAATACAACTACCTTAGGACTAGCGATCCCACTTCTGGGTGAGTAGTCTTGCATGGCTTAATGTCAGCTACACTTTCTGAGAAATGCATCATCAGGTGATTTTGTCATTGTGCAAACATCACTGTGTACAACCTCCAAAGTCCAAGCCTCCGTGTTTGGGAAATGCATTTTCAAATTCATACCTGATGAGTTTGTCACGTATATTCTGAATCCAATCCTTCACTGAGCGCATATAGTAAGTGCCAGCCATGTGACTAGACCTTGTGGGAACAGAAATAATGAGGATGCTGTCATTCTCCTGGAAGCTCATAGTACCATGAGCATTAGCAACCTTATTTCCAGGGCATTCAGCCTGTTTAGGAACTTATTGAAATAGAGGCTCAGAGGCCTTCCCACCAGTATTCACCATCATGTAGCCATCCTTTCCTTGTGGCCCCAGTTTGTAAGAGAATCTGGTCACTGCTCAGCACCCCA